TAGGATTTGTTTACATTTATTGGCCAGAACTGTATCCTAATCTCGTCCCTAGTTCCAAAGGAGCCTGGAAAGTGCAGGTCTTTAACTGAGCACACTGTTACCCTGAACAAAATTGGGGCACGTAGTGAAGACACAGAGAACAGGTATGGGACAGGCAATAGGCATGGTCTTCCACCAAGCATGAGAAGTTTTTCAAATGTCTTAAATTGTGCTGTCTGCCATTAATTGTGCACACTTGTTGCTTTGGTTACCTTGCAATATTTCTGTTAGAGAATAGAGGAAGCTGTAACACAAAAGGGAAAGAATATGTTGCAACTGGATGTCACCCCTAGGGCCACATGACAAAGAGGGAGATGGGATGTCTTATGTCCATGGAGCTGGGCTGTGGTAGAATCTCTCTTTGTCATCTCAAGATGGTAGAGAAGGGGTGATGTGGTTTCTTCAACTGTTCAGGTTGTGTTTTGGACCTCAGGGGCCAAGGGCTGTGTTCTCAGAGGTGCCAGGGAACCTGAAGGGGTCTGAATGCAAGATGCCAAGAGGTCCCATTCCCAGGTTTTTTCTGGCCTCCTTGGTGGCTGCATGGTTCTGCCGCTCCAGTTTCACTTAGCATTTATAGGGGCAGCTTGTTTGCTGCAGCCCGGCCAGAAATCATGAAAATCGGACTCTAATGATGTGATGATTGTTGTTGTTAGGTGCTGTCCAGTCGGCTCAAAGTCACAACGACCTTATGTACAACAGAACGAAACACTGCCCAGTGCTGCACCAGCCTCACAGTCCTTGCTATACATGAACCCATCGTTGCAGCCTCTGTGCCAATTCATTTTGTTAAGGGTCTTCTCCTTTCTTACTGATCCTCCTTTTACCAAGCATGATATCTTTCTCCAGCGACTGGTCCCTATGACAACATGACCAAAGTAGATGAGATGAGGTCTGGCCATTGTCATTGCCAAGGAGCATTCCAACCACACTCCTCCCAGGATAGATTTGCTCAGTCTTCTGGCTGTTGTTGTTGCTGTTGTTATGTGCCGTGGAGTCGGACCCGACTCACAGCAACCCCTCCTTGGGTTTCCGAGGCAGTATCACTACGGAAGTAGATTGCCCCATCTTCCTTCCGAGGAGTGGCTGGTGGGTTTGAACTGCCAGCCTTCTGGTTAGCAGTCAAGTGCCTTAGGCACCATGCTACCAGAGCTCCCCCAGTCTTTTGGCAGTCCCTGGTATTTTCAGTATTCTTCACCAACACCACAGTTCAAAGGCATGAATTCTTCTTTGGTCTTCCTTGTTCATTGTTCAGCTTACACATGCATATGAGAAAACTGGTGGGGTAGTGCCCAAGGCTGTTAACCAGGAAGCTGGCAGTTCAAACTCACCAGCTGCTCTGAAAGAGGATGGGGCTGTCTACTTCCAAAAAGATTTACTGCTTTGGAAATCCAGTGGGGGTTGCTGTGACTCAAAATCGACACAATGGTAGTGAGTTTGGTTTGGGTTAGGTGCACCTTAGTGTTCAAGGTGACATATTTGGTATTCAAGACTAAAATGGTCTTTTGCAGCAGATGTGCCCAGTGCAATATGATGTCTGATTTCTTGACGGCTGCTTCCATGAGCGTTGATTGTGGATCCAAGTCAAATGAAATCTTTGACAACTTCAATGTTTTCTCCATTTATCATGATGTTGCTTATTGGTTCAGTTGTGAGGATTTTCATTTTCTTTATGTTGAGGTGTAATCCATCCTGCAGACTGTAGTCTTTCATCTGCATCAATAACTGCTTCAAGTCCTCTTTGCTTTCAGCAAGCAAGGTTGTGTCATCTGCACATCGCAGGTTGTTAATGAGTCTTCCTCCAATCCTGATGCCGCATTCTTCTTCCTAGAGTCCAGCTTCTCGAGTTATTTGCTCAGCATACAGATTGAGTAAGTGTGGTGAAGGGATGCAAACCTGATGCACACCCTTCCTGATGTTAAACCATGCTCTTTTTTTCTTCAGTTGGAACTTCCCACTGAATTAATAGAAAATTGAGTTCTCAGATACTCTCTTTGTAAACAATTCCTTCCGCCCCCTCATTTAGTAACATTTCATGAGCACTGTTCAGTGATGCAAATGGTACAAATGTGAATGAAATCAGGTCTCGGACCCCAGAGTTAGTGGTGGGGGAGGTGCATAAAGTCACTTGCACCCCTGGGACTGAGAGAAAGTGAAAGCAGCAATGACGCAGCTCTGTGTGAGCTTTCAGTAGCAGGGACTCTCAGTCAGCCCTCGTGGGAACCTAAATTGCTGTCATGTTTTTGGAAAGTAATCTAGCAAATATTAGGTTTAACCAGTTTAAATTCCTGAAATTGCCGTTTCTTTAGGTCAAAGTGTTTGAGTATTAACACTTCCATGATTCAACCTTTTAAAAAATGCACATATTCCTTGGTGTACCATTCTTAATTGTGGGAATTTAGCCTCTAGAAAGAAAACATTAGCATGGAAAGCTATTCATACAAGATGTACTGCGCTGCGAACAGTGGTTTCCGTGAACAAGGGGTAAGGAGGAGGTAAAAGGGAAGATTTTGCTTCTTTCTACTCTTTGCATTGTTTCAATATTTACACGTTATTTACATTACAAGACTGCCAGGGATGGAGCAGGGGTTAGGGGAGTTTGAGAAGGAGTCACAAGAGAAGAGACCCTTGAATTTGCTCGTGAAAGACGTTCAGGCAGACTTGGGCTTTCGGGCAGAGGCCAGCGCCTGGCCCGGCCCGGCCCGGCCCGGGTGTAGGTGTGGACGCCCAACGAGCTACCGCGGCCAGGAGGAGCCCAGAACTGGACAAGCACTGGGTCCGACCCGGTGCAGCTGCTGCGGGACCCTGCCTTGGGCCTGTCCCAACCTGCACGGCTGATGCCATGGCTCCCTGTCCGTGCGGCATCTTTCTGCCGGGTTTCCAACGAGGACGCAGAGCGCAGGTACCGCAGCACCTAGGCCTGCTCCCGGGCGGGCAGAGGCGATTGGAAGCACCTCTCCTTGCACCTGTCCCCC